GTATAACTTTTTGGTTTATTTTTATTATTGTACATAGTATTTTTTAATGAAATGAATAAATTTTTTGAATTGAATTGAAATTGAAAAGTTAGCATGTTGCTAATGCCCAACAAGCGCGTCAAGGTCACAATGTAACTGCAGAGTAAGGAGAAAACGGAACAAGAACAGGCAAGTCTGAGCTGCAAGGAGAAAGCGCTGCTTCCTGAACGTCACACAGACTTGTTGAGAAATGTTGTGACATTAGACTAAAGTAGAAAAATGTCAGCGTAAAAAAGAAGCATTATGTTTGTAATCTGGTGCCAAAACTTTCCTGGAAATTTCTAAATAAATGTCAGGAGGACATCTAATAAACTCCACGTCTGAACCTGAGACTTTAAAGGAGACAAACAAATCTTCACAAGTTAATCCAACAAGGATTAAGACTTGATACTAAACATGAAGAAATCCAGAAAAACCACAGACATATAGGACTTGTTTAGGCTGATGTGCATAACTGAATAATGTATTTAGGGCTGCAACTAATGATTATTTTAATAATCGATTAATCTGTCGATTATTTTTTCGATTAATCGATTATTCGGCCAAAATCATTAAAACGCTTAATTGCATGAATATGAGTAGATATAAATTAATTTCATTCCGGTATAAATTAGGGATGTAAGTTATTGATTAATTAATTAATCTGAAGTTGATTTATCTTTACACATTGACTAAAAATTAATTGATAAGCAGACCTGCTGCTCGCGTCTCCCCCCACCCCTTCGTCCTGAACCTTTTTGCTGCTCAACAAATAACTTTGAGCCTCTGTCAGAAAAACTGGAGGGTTTTTATACTTTTGGCCCGAGAGGAGGAGGAAATAAATGGTGGATTTGGGATCTGATTAAGGACAATCGCCTGGATCTGTTTAACTGGGTTCTAGTTACTCACACGTGAAATGTGTGATCTGATGAAAAATTGAGGTCACGGTAATGTTGGGCTATATAATATATTCAAGATTAAAGTGTGTAAAGCTGATTCTGGTCTGAACAATATACATACGACCTCAGAGTAACTCAGCCTTAAGGGAGATTAATGTGTGTAAATAGACCCACAGAGATGTCTCTATAGATGCAGCTGAAGTGTTGATCTGTGTGTTCCCCCCCTGTGAAAAAGGTCAAAAACAGCTCCAGTTTCAGGGGACTAGCGATGGGCTGCAGGGAGAATCCACTCACTTGTTTTTAAGCTCTGAGGAAGCGTCCATGTCCTTGAACTCTCCAGCGATGTGGACGATCCCGTAGCAGGTCATCACAAACGATAATAAGGTCTGCAACACAATCTGGAAACGGGAGAAAAACATGACTACAAGATGCAAGAATGTGACAATTGTTTTTTTAGGGGTGTTGTATATTAAAGAGAAGCTACTCACGTCAATTGGTAGCGTTTCATGCTCCTTCTCTGTAAGCCGCATATATGACCGATCTGATGATAAAAGTTGAAATTTATTAGCACAAAACACAACTGCATTATAAAGCAAATAGTATTAGTTTGATCGTAAGGAAGGCGTCATTAAAACCAATCACACAGAATTTAACATATCACGTTCACTGAGAAAGGTTGGGGAATTATCTCCCCGCAGAAACTGACTACAAATGGTGCTAAGCTGCCCAGCATATTTGCTAGCTTAGCTGCGACAAGTCCGGCCTGCTGATTTATCAACAAGCTCGGTGTAAACTCACGCCAACCACGATAAAGTAACACATCGAAATGCAAATCTCCACTCTTGGTGCTAAAACTCACGCTGTGCCGCCGAGAAAGCTGCGTGAGCTAAAGCAAAAAGTCCGACACCGACTACCCCTTTCCAGAACGACGAAGCCATTTCGAAGCAGTGCGCAAAAGGAGCTATGGGCAGGGTCGTAAAGCAGTGTCGTAAACAGCCGCAACCATGGCTGCGTCGCAACTCGTTGCCAATTTCATTAAATTATTTTTAAAAAGTTTGTATTCTTGTGTGGGTCAAATGATTTGTACACTATTTTTACAAGCAAATGTCACCAGAATGATATCACTTTGTTTGGCTTGTGCGACATTCACGACACCTTGTAAATGGTATTATTCAGCTCATACTGAATGGTTTCCGAACTGCTTTCAGAGTTTTGATTAGATATTTGTTGTAAATAAATATTCATAAATTTGTGTAAGGCAGAGAAAAGAGTGACACCAAATTGAAAACCACGCATTTTTTTTTATTATTAAACTTTACCCGATGTGAAACCAGAAATTTTGAGTCTGTAGTGTTCCGTGAATCCAACACAACATCCGGTCTGTCCTGAGTCTTTTTCCTGTCAGCTAACGCGGAGCTCATAAATTGTGCTGTTTAACAACGTTTCAAAATTTATTTATTTAACTTACAGAGCGGTGTAGGAAATACTTCACAAATATGGCAGACGCGATTCAAAAGAAACTAAAAGCAGAATTGGAAAAATATACACAATTACAGAAAGGTGTGGTTCCTTCTATGCTAATGCTAAGTTGATGTGCATGTTGTTGTGTTTTGCTAACCTCGGCATTATAGACATCCATATCCAGATTAACGTCGTTTGGTTCGAATTTGTGTTAGTATGTGTATTCTGCTTTTGAATCTGCGCAAAATGATTATTACTGACTTCTTGCTCATTTTTCAGATGTTAGTAAAAGCATGTCATCCAGACAGAAGCTAGAAACTCAGCTGACGGAGAACAAAATTGTTAAAGAGGTAACTGCACCACTCCTTTTTATACACCGTAAACAAATCTTATCTTTGCCCTAATACATCTGGTCTCATTTCAGGAGCTCGATCTGCTGGACAGCGCAAACACTGTTTATAAACTTATTGGACCAGTTTTAGTGAAACAAGATTTGGATGAGGCCAAAGCTACTGTTGGAAAAAGACTGGAGTACATCACCGGAGAACTGTAAGCTCCTGTCCATTCCTCACAGCTCCTTACCTACAGTACTTCCATCACACACAGAAATGACTTTGTGCTCATGCACAAGGAAAACTTGTCAAAGAAAGAAAGAAAAGTAGACTTCCTTGAATGACCTCAAATTGCCCACTGCTTTGAATGCCAGAGTTTTAAACAAATATGTGCAAAATGTTAGGGAGGACAATTACTGTAACACCAAGATCCAACAAACAGACTGTGCAGTGTTTCCCCTGTCTTTATCCGAAGAGGGCGCCCTGCCCTCCCAACAGAACCGGCCTTTCTCTCTGCTGTTAGCTTGTACACAGGTTTTCAAGATCCAGGACAGTGACAGTCTGTAACCCTTGAGCATTTTTATATATTAACCCCTTAAGATCAGACACATCAAACTGTGTTAAAAATTAGACTTTCTTTCAAAAGGTTGTAAATAACCAACCAAAAAATAATTACATTTTCTGGTTTTAACTTTTTTCATATGTTCAGGAGTTTATAGTCATTAACCCTTTAAGCCCACAAGGTTTTAGAAGATTTCCTTCAGTTCTCTTGTCGGCCCTGTACCGGCCCCATCGTGCTCAACAGATTAAAAAACAATAATATTCAATATTAACCCCTTCTGGGGTGTACCAACAGGGTAATTTTCATGCATGCAAGAGGTTCTAAAATATTAACTTCAGGTTTGTAAAAAGCAAACATTTATTTTTGGGTTTAACTATAGTCAGCAATAGTAACCCTTTTCAACTGGTACTAATAACGTTCAACATGCCATAATGTCTTGTAAACACATTTAGTAATCAGTTTAATATGCAGTTTTGCTTGTATTAATGTTTATTGAGTTGTTGATGCAAGTTGAGAGCATTATCTTGATGGTGCCTCTGTTACTGAACATTTGCGCATCCAGCAGGCACAGAAAGTAGTCCACGGCAAACTAGTGTTATCCCATAGACTTAGATAAACCTAGAATGAGCCCCGCCTACCCTGTCCACTGTTAGCATGTGTGACAACATGGAGGAGCAAAAACGGGGATCTAACAGGGCGTTGGTTTGAAGTTTGAGATCTTCATATTAATATTGTAGTGCTATACAACAGCATTAATAGCCAATTTAATACAATTTAACAATTTTATATTGTTATTCTACATTATTCTTTTAGAACTATAATTCCATTTCAAACAGAATAGCCTACTGTCAACATAATTATGGAGTGTGATTTATTTTCAACTCAAAATATCTTCAAACTAACGAAATATAAAGTTATTAGTGAAGAAAATCAGTCTGGATAACAGCAGACTGACTGCCCGTGAGATATACGACAGGTCTGAACCACTTGTGAATTTTGTTCGTTTCTGAAAAAAATCTTAGAATACGAGAAAATGAACTTGAAAAAATGCCTTAAAAGAAATGCTGTTGTGAAAGATACGTTTATCCCAATTAGGGTTGGGCATAATCGTATCGTGTGCAATTAATTGTCAGAAAAACGTTAATCGATTATTTTTTGGCACTTGACAATTAATACGATTAATGACAACAGAGCTCAATGCTCCTCTTCACTTCAAATATGACGAACATTTAAAGAAAAAGTTCTGCAATTTATCAACACAATTAAAAATTTGATGTATAGCCTGAAGTCTGTAATTTTGACACAATTTGGAATGGATTTTTCCGAAGAGCAAATCTTTCCCACTAAATTGGTCATGTGACCAGGACATAAGGGTGTCCAGGGACTCCAGTGGATTAATCATCAAATTAATCGTTATCGGCTAAATACCACAATTAATCGTGATTAATTTTTTTGCCAATGTTGCCCAACCCTAATCCCAATAACTGTTTGTGTGTTAGCAAATTATTTTTTGAACAGTTTTAATTTTATTGAAACTTTTGGAAAATAATCATTGTTCCAGCTACAGTTGATTGAGTTGAGGACCTAACCCAGTACAAAGTGGCTGACAGCTGTTTGACCTCAGAAAACACAGAAATGTCTGTAAATCAGTCAGATTTTGAGCTAAAATCTGGTGTGAAATGTGGAAATCATTTCAAGACATGAAAACAGCTGCAGTTCCCGTCATTTTTTTTAATCATAAAATGTTCTTAGCTGAAAGCAAAAAGCGGTGAACGATATGTGTCAAGGTGCGCTAAGTCTGTCTTTTTTTTATATGGACACAATTAGAAAGCATCCTCTCAGGGTTTTTTTTTCCTTATTATTTTGATAGTGTAAGCCAGTTTTGGTGTATTTTCTCAGTGATTTCTGTGATGTAATGCAGTTTTCTGTCTCCTCTCAGTCAAAGATACGAGACGCTCCTGAAAGACATGGAGAAGAAGTCTGAACAGCATCGAGAGGTCCTGACCAGCCTACAGCAGGACTTTCAGAAAGCTCAAGGCCTTGCTGTGGGAAACTGATTGTCATTTTCACACGCAGCAGAGCAGAGGGTGATGAAATATAAATCTACGACACAAGCTGCTGTGTCTCGTCAGTAATTTACAGTGTCAGGACAGTGACTCTTCTGTTCTTATAATAAACCTGGTGTTTTTCATGAATTCCTGGTGTTTTTTTTAAGGAATGCTTTCCTAAGTTTCTCAGCACGAGGGACAAAAGGTCAACAGCAGCACTTGTTAGTTTACATTAAACATTTGTTTTTATTGGAGGGGCAGTCTGGTCCCAACTGGAGCAGATGTTGCCTCCTCACCTCACAGGAGTGAAGAGCAGCCAGTGCAGCATCGCTCACAATGCTTTTCATTGCCTTGTAAACAAAATGTGTCACTTTTGTCACTTGTAAATATAGATCCAGTCATTTTTGAGTATGCTGCTCACTGACAGAGATTTATGCTAATTTAATTTTTGTTATTTATACTTACTTACATTTTGGTCAAATCTAAATGATGTGTGAGATGTGTTACTGCTTGGATTATGTGTTGAAGAAGAATCTTACCTGTTTTAAAATTGTAGCTCAGTATCTGGGAAACAGACAAGGTTATAGATGAGATTATTGGCTAAGGTCAGTTTGCTGTGGTGGACATTTTAAACTGGTTTAACACCAGAGGTTAATCAATTATAAATGTACATCCAGGGACTTTGAGAGTTTCACCAAAATCTATGCAGTGGTTCTTATATTTTGCTATATATCAGCCGTTGTGTTTTGACAGACGGCTACGGCAGCCATCTTGAGTTTGATTACAAGATATTAATCTTTTTTTATTTTATTTAGTTAACATATATCCAGTGGGTCATTAGATATTTAGCAAACAGACAGGTAGCACTGACTAACAATTTGTGTAGCATTTTTATAGATGCCACATTCAGTGCTCTGAGTATGTGTTGGGGATTACTCTCAGCTACAACAACCTAAATTTATAACAATGACGAAACTAAAGTCATAGTTTTGGTTGTAGCTGCCATCTTGAACGGCGTTGATCCTAAAAGTAAAATGATCAGTTGTAGATGTCCTTCCAATAAGAACTTCCTGACATTTTTGGTGAAAATCTCTCCACTTGTTCGTGAGATATTTTAACACATTAAACATCAAAAACATCACTTTTCTGCTGCGGGTGATGATGTGAAAACCTGTCAGAACTAAAAAAAAAAAAAAAAAAGTTTTCCTCCAACACGCGCGCAGTTCACACTACACAACAGCGCATGAGTCAAAGCTGTTTTGGCGCACGTGCGGCATTAACACCTGAGGTGCGGGTTTGTTTTACATACGGACTGGAGACCGACACGTGGCCCTCACTTAGACCTTTTGGTTCAAACCTTCACTAAACAAGAAATAAAAACCGTAAAACAGCTGAACATTGTCGTAAAGCGCACGTGTTTAGCTTATTGCGTTACATTCCCAACTATTCCCTTTACATTATCCAGCAAATCAGTTTAGTGCAACTACTTCTGTTAAAATAAATAAGTTAATAATTAAATGTAGTCTAAGCTGTTGTATGAATACTAAGTGTGGGAACATCAGGTCTCATTTAGTTTATTGAGGCCAAAAGGGGTTTTATTATATTCTCAGCTGTGTGATAATCTGCAACACTTAAAGAACTAAACTCTGGTGGTTTTTACTGAGTTCCATCTCTGCATTAAACACGGTTATCTGATTTATTTGTGTTTTATCTGATCTGTAAGGCTTTTCTCTGACAAAAGCACATCCTCAGTGGGGGCCAGTCCTTTCAGAGGGGCTTCAGACTCAAACACAAAGAAAAGAGAAGAAAAATGTTTGATAAGAGCCAGAACATTTGCATATTAGAGCCTTTTTAATGAGCCCTCGTGCAGACAATAGGAAGTGGAGCCAAATATGTCAGACAGTTATTCCTTGAATAATGCATTTCGCCCACCGTTAGACTGAGCTTATCTTGAGAAATGAATTAGAGTCACATCTTTAAAGTAAACTTATACAAAGTCAATTACAGCTCAACATCTGTAAAACCACCTAAATATGTAGGTGTTTGCTGCTTTGCTGCCCATCTTGAATTGAGTTGGCTCCAAAAGTGAATCTGCAGATGTCCTCGGGGATTATTTCCTGAAAGTTTCATTAAAATCCATCCAGTGGTTGAGGAGATAATTTGCTAACAGACAGAGATGACTCCAAATAGTCTGTGACCAATTTTAAAACAAAGATCTACAACCTTTTAGCACTCAAAAGGTGGTGTGAATGACTCATCAAATCTAAATTGCTGAGTTTTAGCCAGGTGTGTTTTAAGTTTTAGTTTGCTGCAGTTTATTCTCAATGATTATCTGTTAAAGTCAAGAACTTAAAGCCAAATTAGCTGGCAAAATATACAATTTTCCAGTATGAGTTGGATGTTTTTGCTTCTTACCCAACTTTTACATTATTAAATGAGTGTTTGGGGTTAAATGTATACCCAAACTCAACAGAGTTTTTGTATAAAACTTGTTTTTGAAAACAGCAAATATTATTTGCCTTTGTTTAGAATTAAATTATCTGCTTCGTTTTATCTTACATTTAATCCTGCTGCTTCCTGTCTGCACAGGGGGGACATGCTATTCAGCCCTAATTTAAACATTACGCTTGCAATCTGTGTTAGTCCCAATGTGCTGTAAAGAGCTGGGCTTTCTACTGATATCAAATTTGTGATCATGTCATGATCAGACCACATGTACTTGCTTTTTTGAAATGGCGGAAATCCCCATATCAACATTTTATGAGGTAGGTAGGTAAGTGATAAATTTCTTATCAAAAATTATTTATATTGCTAAAAATGACATTACCTCATTAGTTTGCAAGTTTGCATCATAGGTTTGCTCAATTTAAGACGTACAATATTATTAACCCTGTAAAAATGCAAGTTTAATCCATTGTCCTTCATAGGGGACAGTGGGACTTGCTAAAGACAATCTTAACCACTTTTCATGCCTTGGAAAGTATAGGACCGAATGAGGCAGAAATGATTTAATGAGTGTAGTGGAGACACTTGCCTGCCAATATTGATGAAGAGCAATTTGTAAGTTAGAGTCATGGAATTTATTGGTAATAGTGAGTGCAATGGAAAGAAACTAAACTTTTTAAAAGAACACATAGACACAATAATGTAAAATTTTGTAATGGCAATTAAATATGTAATTACACATTTTGCATTACGTTAAGTATAATTTTTTTTCAATCAACATAGTTTCAACCCGGTTGTGGAGGAGAATCCCTTGCAGGAAAGCAATGAGCACAAACTGGAGGCCAAGTGATTACTGTAAACAGTACATAGATAAAAGCATTTTTGAAAAAAAAATGTCAGAATACACAAACCAGCGAGAGTATTTAAATGTTTAGATGCATTTCAGACATGTAATTAGTTATATAAGCACTTCTTAAAGCCATTTTTTCAACTTTTTGTCTGTTTATGAATTTCAAAAAGTATAAATCTGTTCTAAGTATTCATAACATAAAAATAAATGTAATTTATCAGTTTTAAATAATCATGATGTAAATTTTTTTTTTATTTCAAGCAAGACCCGATGTCCATTATAAGAGACATTTGGTAAAATTTAAATAAATAGCATCTATGAAAAAATGTTGCAATATGTTTCTTTCAACATCAATACTTAAACTATGAAAAAAATCAAAATACCAAAACATATTTTCTTCTGGGTCTCAGGAGGTTTTATTGTACCGTACTGAAAGTAAAAACAAATTCATGTATTTATCCCAGAATCCAACACAAAAACCAGTGAAACTGGTGATGGGGGTAGGGGGTACGACGACTTCAGACTGACTGAAGATTTTGTTGTTTGTTTGTTTATCTCCAAACTTATCTCTCACAACAGAAGGCTGCTACAGTGTAGACAACTTGCCAGTTTTACAGGTTTACATGTTAGGCCAATGCATCTTATTACCCCCACCCCCACCCCGTCGAACTATGTCCCACCCACCCCAATTTGAACCCCTAAAAACACGTTTGACAGTGTAAGGTACTATGGTAAAGTTAGATTTATTTGCTTTCCCAGAAAGCAAATACATAACAACATACATGTCAACTTGTACGGATTGTCCATAAGTTATAAGGATTTTATGTCATTTTGCAGGTATACGGACATATAGCAATCTCATGGATTTTTTTCAAGTCTTACGAATTTTTTCAAAACCTCATTTTCAAATTTATCTAACATGTCAGAGCCTGGATGATTTAAAAACAATATATGACATTAAATAGCCATCTTCCAACCTGTTCTGCCGCTAGAAATAAGTTTTGAACTTTTTCCGCTCTCCTTTCCTCCTGCTTCGCAGCGAAGCTGACCCCCCCTCTCCCCCCATGGGTGCGAGTTGTATAGATTTTTTGCAAAATGTATGGATTTTTGAGGCTTTTTATACAGGTAAACATTCGAAGAGGTTGACATGTATGGGACAACAAAATACAGACTTGTTGTTATTGAGTTCATCAACACGAACCACTGCCTGGGAGGCACTACTAGCCCCTCCCCCGTCAGAGTGTCGGAGCAGGACGAGTCAGCGCAATATCAATCAAATAAGAGAGAGGGTGGGGGCATTTGCTCCATTGGGGGGGATTTTTTATGGGTAGAGTAGTTTATTTTTCCTGTAATACTTCATTATAGTTTTTTTAAGACAAAAATTGAAAGCTTAGCAGAGTTACAACCAGGGATTACAAATAATTACTTTTTTCTTCCACAGTTCAGCGCCCCCTCCAGCAGATGGTGCTCTAGGCGACCGCCTAGTTCGCCTATGCCAAGAGCCGGCACTGCGTCATCAGTCTGTATTAACCACTCTCAGCCTTCACATCAGTGGATCAAAGTGTTCTGATTTCCTTTTTGTTGTTCCTTCATACATAAATTTAGTCAGTTTTGCCATCATGTCAACTTTTTGTTTTCTTTTTGTCATTAAATAATTTTAAGTTATCTTCGAGCTCCACGTAGTGCTTATGAGGCTGAGTTCACCTGAAACTCATTAGACTGAAGAAATCTCTTGGAGGAGAGACGAAACGTTTCATTAAAGAAGAACCCATCCAGAGGACCTACTTATTTTTTTTCTTTTTGATCCACGTAGTCTACTTTCTGTGTCACCACTTCTGTGCTTAGTTCGTCTTTTAAAGACAACTTCTGTTTGTGTTAAAAACACAAATATTTTAAACAGACTATAAAAAAACAGATATCACATGTATTCCAAAATACAAACCTGCTGACTGTATTTGATCTGTTGTGCACAGTTCTGTAGATGCTGAAGTGTTTCATCTTCATCAGAGGCTCATACAGCTGTATAAGGCACTTGCCTGCCAATATTGATGAAAAGCAATATGTAAATTAGAGTCATGGAATTTATTGGTAATAATGAGTGCAAAAGAAAGAAATTAAACATTTTAAAATTTATAACACATAGACACAATAATGTAAAATTTTGTAATGCAATTAAATATGTAATTACACATTTTGCATTACGTAAAGTATAATTTTTTCCCAATAAACATAGTTTCAACCCTGTTGTGGAGGAGAATCCCTTGCAGGAAAGCAATGAGCACAATCTCCAAGACTGGAGGCCAACTGATTACTGTAAACAGTACATAGATAATAGCATTTTTGAAAAAAAAAAAAGTCAGAATACACAAACCAGCGAGAGTATTTAAATGTTTAGATGCATTTCAGACATGTAATTAGTTATGTTAGCTCTTCTTAAAGCCACTTCTTCAACTTTTTTGTCTGTTTATGAATTTCAAAAAAGCATAAATCTGTTTTAAGTATTCATAAAATAAAAATAAATGTAATTTATCAGTTTTAAATAATCATTATGTAAAGAAAATTTTTATTTCAAGCAAGACCCGATGTCCATTATAAGAGACATTTGGTAAAATTTAAATAAATAGCATCTATGAAAAAATGTTGCAATATGTTTCTTTCAACATCAATACTTAAACTATGAAAAAAATCAAAATACCAAAACATATTTTCTTCTGGGTCTCAGGAGGTTTTATTGTACCGTACTGAAAGTAAAAACAAATTCATGTATTTATCCCAGAATCCAACACAAAAACCAGTGAAACTGGTGATGGGGGTAGGGGGTACGACGACTTCAGACTGACTGAAGATTTTGTTGTTTGTTTGTTTATCTCCAAACTTATCTCTCACAACAGAAGGCTGCTACAGTGTAGACAACTTGCCAGTTTTACAGGTTTACATGTTAGGCCAATGCATCTTATTACCATCAGTTCTGATTAATCTTATCTGTTCAAAAGACGATGACTCAAGATGAGCAGAGTTTGTGTTGGTATGTCTGGATAACCTGACATCAGTGATGTAAATGTTGAATGAAATCCTACACAACTGTTCAAACCACAGTTGCTTTGAAAAACTTTAGATCTAATTTAGTAACACGTAAACAGGGGCTTGGTCAGATTTGAAAATTTTTTGCATTTGTCATGTTCAGAACATTTGGGAAAAAAATCATGCTTGACTCAGTTTTGCCTGCAGAGTGATCTGCCTGACTAATTTTTTAACAACTCAGTATGTCATTAGCTGAGAATTTTGGCAACAAAACACAACTCATTTATTACACATCCTGTGTTTGAATTTCTGTAGTGAATATTGCAGATGTTTTGTGGTAAATGAGACATGTAAAACATTGAAAACTTGTGTATTATGACATCCATTATTGCTTCAAAAGCCTTCAAGTTGAACATGCACTCTTATTGGTAAATGTACATTCAGGTATGTATTTTTCTATTATAATAATGTACATATTTACGTTATTTTTCTAATTTAGAAAAATAAGTTTAAGTTTAAATTTTGGATCAGTTAAAACCCTTAAATATCTTTACAAATGTACGTTATGTATTTTATGTTGTGAGCTGTTTTTATACCAGGAATATTTCCAGAAATACAAAAACAAATACTGTATGGATGTAAAGAAACAATTATTTGAAAACAAAAATGTTTTGAATGATTCTCCATGCAGCAAAAATATTTTTTACATAACATTTTATATGGTAAATTGTTTTCGAACAGAAATATGATGAAATTATTTTTATAGTAATCCACTGTCCAAACACTGCTGTTCCTGCCACGAGGATTCTTTACAGAAATGAGAAATAAAACAAAAGAGCTGCTGTCTGGTCTCACCTGGACCAGTCATGACGTCACACTCCATATATGGAAATGTAGGGCTGTTTCCAAAGCAGCTTAAAAACCCTGAAAACGCACAAAAACTATTTGTGTTACTTTTAAACGTTGCCACAGAACATATTATCATTTTATATCCATATTTAGCTGAAAAAGCAATAAGAAAAACTGATGGATTTATTAAATTCTAACATTTAAAATCTTGTGCGCCATTCTGACGCAGAGAGGCGGAGGTGGGGCCTGCTGGTAGGTGGTGGGACCTCCACCCACACGTGTCCCAGCCAGTCAGGTTCGGGCTCGGAAGAGTTGCAGATCAACAACGAACAAACATGAAGGTTTTATTGTCCCCCGAGTCTCACAGGCAGAGGTCCAGGAGGAAGGTGAGCTGCGGATTTTAATCAGCATCACTTTAAATCTTCGTTTCAGCAATAAATCAAATTTCAAGTAAATTGATTTTTCCCCTGAAGGTGTCCAAACCAGTGATGGAGAAGCGCAGGCGGGAGCGCATCAACTCCAGTCTGGAGACTCTGAGGCTTCTGATGCTGGAAAATACCCAGAACGAGGTAAGATTGTTTTGTTTTGACTGAGGAGAAAGCGTCAAATTTGCTCCTTGTTGAGGGTCCCGCTCTGCTGCTCTCCTCAGAAACTGAAGAACCCGAAGGTGGAGAGGGCGGAGATTCTGGAGAGTGTGGTGGACTTCTTGAAGACGGAGAGGGGTCGCCGGGACGTGGCGAGGGAGGTCCCGTCCGGCGAGCAGAGGGGCCCTCGCGACCCTCAGCACAGCTACCGGGACGGGATCAGGTCCTGCCTGCTGAGGGTCAGCCACTTCCTCACCACCAAGACCCAGGAGCTGGAGGGGAGCCCGGCACCAGTCCAGGGGTCTCCGCTGCCCCTTCGTCCTCCCGCTGTTCCCCCTCAGCTTCACGTCTCGCAGCTGTCCTCCTCCTCCTCCTCCTCCTCCTCCTCCTCCTCATCATCATCTTCATCATCACCGAGGGTCTCTGCGCACAGCACGGATCCACTGTGGAGACCCTGGCCCATGTGAGGAGCCCCTTTGGGACACATTTAATCCCTCGAGGCGTCTGTTGATGCCTGTTTTGCACAGCCTGCATGAACAATTTTGCACAGTGATGAATTTTGTTTCTTTTACGGACGTTAGAAATAATTTGTTTTGCTTTTGTGTTAAAAAAAAGGTGATTTGTTCTTTTGGGTCATGCGTAAAGTTGATGCGTTGTTTTGCTCTGGTATTAACATGAGAACAAAAAGGCTGCTCTGTTCCTGTTTTCAATAAAAGCTGAATAAAAATGCCCCTGTCTGCTTCCTGTCAGTCTGGCTGGAGTGGCCCATCGGCTGTGAATGGCCGGAGCTCGCTCCGTGGCTGCAGGATAAAGAACCATCAGCAGGAACGTTAGCAGGTCCTCAGCTCAGACTGGACTCCTGGTTCCTGCTCATTGACATGTTGATCAGGAGTTCACACGATCACATTCAGTGGGTCCTGCTAAAATGAAGCTCAATGAAACTGACCTTTTAATCCCTTAGGATGGTTATTTGAAAATTTGCGACAAGAAAAGTTGATAAAATAACAAAGGATTTTTAAATGAGTCAAACATAAATAAATAGCTGAGATAAATTATAGGCTAATAATAAAAAAGATGAAACTTGACATAAATAACTTTTAAAATGGAAAAATTACAAACTAGCCATATTAAATATTTACTTTTATCAAAGTTTAAACATTTAAATACTGTTACATATGTCACAGTGAAAACATCCTAAAACAAAACATCAGTAATTAATAATATTATTGATATTAGGAAGTTCTTCTTACATTTGAGGTTCTTTATTTATCGTCTGTTCATAAAAACAGTACTACTGGGGATCGTTTGTGTGTTTTGAATTGTCCTGATTTTGTATGTCCTGATACATCTCAGTAAACCAGGTAGAAAAAAATAAGTAGGTCCTCTCTGGATGGGTTGTACTTTAATGAAATGTTTTCTCTCTCCTCCAAAAGACTTCTTCAGTCTGAGTGGTTTATTTTTTGTTTTTGGATTTTGTATGTTTTTGTGTGGTTTCAATCTGTATTTCTCACATGCTAACACAGTTTCGTTTCTCCCTGATTGGCTCTCAGTATTTTTCCAGTCAGTCAGCCACTTTCACATGTTGCCACTCCCCAATCAATTCAGTTGTCAGCAGTGCTGGCTCTAGCCATTTTGGTGCCCTAGGCAAGTTGAAGCCCCCCACCCCCCGAACTATGTCCCACCCACCCCAATTTGAACCCCTAAAAACACGTTTGACAGTGTAAGGTACCATGGTAAACTTAGATTTATTTGCTTTCCCAGAAAGCAAATAAATAACAACATACATGTCAACTTGTACAGATTGTCCATAAGTTAAAAGGATTTTATGTCATTTTGCAGGTATACGGATGTATAGAGCAATCTCATGGATTTTTTCGTCTTACGAATTTTTTCAAAACCTCATTTTCAAATTTATCTAACATGTCAGAGCCTGTAGGATGATTTAAAAAACAATATATGACATTAAATAGCCATCTTCCAACCTGTTTTGCCGATAGAAATAAGTTTTGAACTCTTTCCGCTCTCCTTTCGTCTTGCTTCGCAGCGAAGCTTTGTGTTTTTTATTTCTATTCAGATCATCTATTTTGCTCTTTGTCTTCTTATATATTGCTCAAAAGGTCTTGCCATTTGCTACTGGTTTGTTCATTATTAAGTTTTTTAGTTTAGGCCCCTATTCTTGCATTTTGTTCTTCGTGCATTTCTGTTTAGTTTTCTTTTCTTCATTTAATGAGTCCTCTTTAGTTTCTCTCACGTTATTAGTCTGCCTCCCGGCTGTTCTTATTGTAGAATTCATRTTTACCAGTTTTTTACTCRCAAGCGACGCCTCATCATCCTCGTGTGTTTCAATTGATCCGTCACTCAAACTCTTCATTTTGTAGGCCTACAGTCCAGCACCGGACTCCCTGATTTCATGAGTTTTTTGTCTTATTTTTCCGTTCTGTGTTGTACTTTTCTGTTTATAATTTCAGTCTGTGCGCGAGAAGAGCGCGCTGCTGACCAAGAGAGAGCACGCGTGCTC